TAGGAGGAGGAGGAGGAGGGCGGTGGTCAGAGTTTTGGGGGAACTGGGTTCACACCAAGCCCATCCTCTTCTCTAGCTGCCACCAACGGTCATGGACACGGAGAGCATCAAAAAGGATAAAGGGGAATCAGTTCACTCACACAGGTTACCACCACTTAGAAATGTGGGACCCGCACTCCTAACACATCTAGCTGGAAGATCCTTCAGGTGGTCACTGGCTTGTACAACTCCTTCCTGTTATATAGTATTTGAGGTTGAATGAAGACATGTCGATCAAGTCCAACCTATTGCACGTATGGTCCTAATGATGTGTGCATATGTATAGGTCCCTGTACTCTTAAGAGTACTTGTACCCCTGTATATATCGCTCCTCTTCTGTATCCTGCGAGGACACTGCCAATGGACAACTCACAGGAAGTGTTCAAGTCACCCAGGCAGCGACACCTGAAGAAGGACCCCCCGCCTCATATCAAGAGAAGACTTGAAGCTGGAGTGTCACATGACTGCGGCTTTGGGTAAAAGGGTCATTTTTATGTCATGTCGTCTTGTGGAGCAAAAACATCTTCAGTTCTCCCCTCCCAACAGGGACTTGGCGGCCTTCCATTCTTTCATGTAAACAGAACAGGAGCACGGGCAGTGACGAGAGCAGAGTGCTGAGAATTGTGCTGAAAAGGGGACGATGAGAAGAAGGGCGGACCATGAGAAGAAGGGCGGGCCATGAGAAGCAGAGCGGGCCATGAGAAGAAGGGCGGGCCATGAGAAGAAGAGCGGACCACGAGAAGAAGGGCGGACCAAGAGAAAAAGGGCGGACCATGAGGAGAAGGGCGGACCATGAGGAGAAGGGCGGACCATGAGAAGCAGAGCAGGGCGGACCATGATAAGCAGAGCGGACCATGATAAGCAGAGCGGACCATGAGAAGCAGGGCGGACCATGAGAAGCAGGGCGGACCATGAGAAGCAGGGCGGACCATGAGAAGCAGGGCGGACCATGAGAAGCAGGGCGGACCATGAGAAGCAGGGCGGACCATGAGAAGCAGGGCGGACCATGAGAAGCAGGGCGGACCATGAGAAGCAGGGCGGACCATGAGAAGCAGGGCGGACCATGAGAAGCAGGGCGGACCATGAGAAGCAGGGCGGACCATGAGAAGCAGGGCGGACCATGAGAAGCAGGGCGGACCATGAGAAGCAGGGCGGACCATGAGAAGCAGGGCGGACCATGAGAAGCAGGGCGGACCATGAGAAGCAGGGCGGACCATGAGAAGCAGGGCGGACCATGAGAAGCAGGGCGGACCATGAGAAGCAGGGCGGACCATGAGAAGCAGGGCGGACCATGAGAAGCAGGGCGGACCATGAGAAGCAGGGCGGACCATGAGAAGCAGGGCGGACCATGAGAAGCAGGGCGGACCATGAGAAGCAGGGCGGACCATGAGAAGCAGGGCGGACCATGAGAAGCAGGGCGGACCATGAGAAGCAGGGCGGACCATGAGAAGCAGGGCGGACCATGAGAAGCAGGGCGGACCATGAGAAGCAGGGCGGACCATGAGAAGCAGGGCGGACCATGAGAAGCAGGGCGGACCATGAGAAGCAGGGCGGACCATGAGAAGCAGGGCGGACCATGAGAAGCAGGGCGGACCATGAGAAGCAGGGCGGACCATGAGAAGCAGGGCGGACCATGAGAAGCAGGGCGGACCATGAGAAGCAGGGCGGACCATGAGAAGCAGGGCGGACCATGAGAAGCAGGGCGGACCATGAGAAGCAGGGCGGACCATGAGAAGCAGGGCGGACCATGAGAAGCAGGGCGGACCATGAGAAGCAGGGCGGACCATGAGAAGCAGGGCGGACCATGAGAAGCAGGGCGGACCATGAGAAGCAGGGCGGACCATGAGAAGCAGGGCGGACCATGAGAAGCAGGGCGGACCATGAGAAGCAGGGCGGACCATGAGAAGCAGGGCGGACCATGAGAAGCAGGGCGGACCATGAGAAGCAGGGCGGACCATGAGAAGCAGGGCGGACCATGAGAAGCAGGGCGGACCATGAGAAGCAGGGCGGACCATGAGAAGCAGGGCGGACCATGAGAAGCAGGGCGGACCATGAGAAGCAGGGCGGACCATGAGAAGCAGGGCGGACCATGAGAAGCAGGGCGGACCATGAGAAGCAGGGCGGACCATGAGAAGCAGGGCGGACCATGAGAAGCAGGGCGGACCATGAGAAGCAGGGCGGACCATGAGAAGCAGGGCGGACCATGAGAAGCAGGGCGGACCATGAGAAGCAGGGCGGACCATGAGAAGCAGGGCGGACCATGAGAAGCAGGGCGGACCATGAGAAGCAGGGCGGACCATGAGAAGCAGGGCGGACCATGAGAAGCAGGGCGGACCATGAGAAGCAGGGCGGACCATGAGAAGCAGGGCGGACCATGAGAAGCAGGGCGGACCATGAGAAGCAGGGCGGACCATGAGAAGCAGGGCGGACCATGAGAAGCAGGGCGGACCATGAGAAGCAGGGCGGACCATGAGAAGCAGGGCGGACCATGAGAAGCAGGGCGGACCATGAGAAGCAGGGCGGACCATGAGAAGCAGGGCGGACCATGAGAAGCAGGGCGGACCATGAGAAGCAGGGCGGACCATGAGAAGCAGGGCGGACCATGAGAAGCAGGGCGGACCATGAGAAGCAGGGCGGACCATGAGAAGCAGGGCGGACCATGAGAAGCAGGGCGGACCATGAGAAGCAGGGCGGACCATGAGAAGCAGGGCGGACCATGAGAAGCAGGGCGGACCATGAGAAGCAGGGCGGACCATGAGAAGCAGGGCGGACCATGAGAAGCAGGGCGGACCATGAGAAGCAGGGCGGACCATGAGAAGAAGGGCGGGCCATGAGAAGCAGAGCGGGCCATGAGTAGCAGAGCGGGCCATGAGTAGCAGAGCGGGCCACGAGTAGCAGAGCAGACCATGAGAAGCAGAGCGGACCACGAGAAGAAGGGCGGACCATGAGAAGCAGAGCAGACCATGAGAAGAAGGGTGGACCATGAGAAGCAGAGCAGACCATGAGAAGGACGAACCACGAGAAGCAGAGCGGGCCATGAGAAGCAGAGCGGACCACGAGAAGCAGAGCGGACCACGAGAAGAAGAGCGGACCAAGACCACGAGAAGCAGAGCGGACCACGAGAAGCAGAGCGGGCGACGAGAAGCAGAGCGGACCATGAGAAGCAGAGCTGGAAATGAGAAACAAAGCGGACCATGAGAAGAAGAGCGGGCAATGAGAAGCAGAGCAGACCATGAGAAGCAGAGCTGGAAATGAGAAACAAAGCGGACCATGAGAAGAAGGGCGGACCATGAGATGCAGAGCAGGCCATGAGTAGCAGAGCAGACCATGAGAAGCAGAGCGGACCATGATAAGCAGAGCGGACCATGATAAGCAGAGCGGACCATGATAAGCAGAGCGGACCATGAGAAGCAGAGCGGACCATGAGAAG